GGCAAATTGTTCTGTGGTTTTTCCCCCCCCCCCCCCCCCGCAAAGCCTGTTTGAAAGTGGAGTGTGCTTGCAGCACTCTGAGCACGAACCCTGACGCTACAAACGCGATTCGTTTTCCCCCTATATACATACTACTACAATCCTTTAGAGCTGCACTGTGCTGACCCGCGAGCCTCTCGTGCCGTACAGCAAAAACCAAACTGCACAGCGTTGCCATGACACAGTTATCGCTTGTGGTGACCGATCCGTCTTGAAAGCTGTCAATCATTTTCATTTGATTGGCGTGGCTCCATCAGCCATGCGTGAGGCTTATAACATACAGGTTAGGCGCAGCGCTGCAGGATTACTCCGCAAGGCTTGCCTGCCAGCGCCAGCTGGCTCACTTGGTCGCAGGCTTAGTGCAAGTATGAGGGCTGGGCTTGGTGCATGAAAGACAGAGCAGACCGTGCGGGCGAAGCATCCCCTCATGCCCAAGATGTTGGGTGAGCCGCGGGCTAGTGCCACGCCTTTCTCTCACAAGGCACTATGCGCTTTGCAAGCCACACGGCGCATGGGGGCTGAGCTTCCGCTCGCCTCCCAACACGTCCAACTCAAAAAGGGGTTGAGGAAGACCTACGCTGGCATGAACAATGAAGCCAACCACGCCAGAAGCCACAAGTACACGCCAGACACACCGCCTGCCGCCCGCCCCGCAGCCATGCGTCGCAGCGCCCCGTGTCCCGAGCCCCTCAGCTGCTGGCGGGCCCGGCCGCCCCGCCCGGATTGAAGAACACGGCCAGCGACGCCGCCGCCTCGACGTTCGCCGCCGCCGCCACCGCGGGCACGCCCTCGCCCGGCCGCGCGATGAGCAGCAGCTGCGGCACGAAGCGCGAGAGGTCCCCGACGGTGCGCGCGCTCGCGTCGATGTGCAGCTCCGGCTCGAGCTGCCGCACCACCGACACCTTCCCGTCCGCGGTGCCGCAGAGCAGCAGCCGCTGGGGCGGCACCTGGCCGGGGCCGTGGCCGACGACGCCGGCCGCCTCGAGGGCGCCCGCGAGGATCGCGGCGGCGAGGTCGTCGGGGACGTGCGCGATGAGGTACACGTCCGCGGCGCGCGCGATCTCGCGCAGCACGGCAGCTGCCTCGGCACGCGCGGAAGCTGCCTCTGACAGCTCCGACGCCTCCCACTGCTCGAGCAGCACGCCCGGCGCGGAGAGCGTCACGCGCTTGACGCCGGCGAGGTGCGCGCGGACGGCCGCGGCGAGCGGCGAGCGGGCGGCGGCGGGGTGGGCGCCGCCCCGCGCGGCGGGCGCGGCTTGGGCGCCGGGAGCGCGCTTGGGCGCGGGCGCGGCGTGCTGCTGCTGCGGCTGCTGCTGCTGGGCCGGCCATCCAAAATCGGACCCAGCTTGCTGCTGATGCTGCTGCTGTTGCCTGGCAGCACGGTCCTCCTGCGCGACATGGTTAGTGCTGCTGCTGGTGCTGCCTCGTCCTGCGGCGGCCCTGCTGCTACTGCCCGCCGGCGGCCGGGGCGGTGCAGCGCCGCCACGCAGGTGGTACCAGCCAGCGAGCAGGGCCGCAAGGCCGAGGACGCCTGTGAGCTGCAGCGACCCTGGCGGCGCGCCCTGGAGCAGCGAGGCCAGGCGCGACCATGCTAGCTCCAGCAGGCGCCTGATCTCGTTGATCATTGGGGCCTCCCCTGTCGTGCGAAGTTCCTGCTGCTGGCTTGAGGCCCGCGGCCTACACCGCGTGGCAAGTCGGGTGTGAGCGGTGAGCAAATCCTTGTTTGCTGTTATGTGCAAGCTGGCCCGAGCTTAGTACATTCAGATTGTATTACGTACAGTATAAAATGCGTGCCTGCAACTGTATCGACCCGCGTACCTCATAGCGACACACCCCGGATCCAGGCGCGCAGCCGTCCTCTTCAAGGTCCTACAATCTTATACGCGGCCATAAGACCGCAGCCATGACAGAATTGCTCTACGTGGAGGAGTACTCCAGCCTGGACCGCGATGATCTGCTCAAAACAGCATGCCGCCTGCGCAACCAGGTAATGAAACACCCTATATAGCTACTATATATGCTTGAGGGCCCGAACCAACCGCTGGCACGCCTCGAGTGGCCGGTCGCGCCACCGAGCCATCCGGACGCTGCCTCTCCCGAACTCTGCGCGTGCCTGCAGCTCGAGCAGGAGCGCAAGCGGTCCAACTCGCTGGCGGAGAGCCTAAAGCTCGCCAAGGAGCAGAGCCTGGCGGCGGTGAGAGGGCGGGCGCCTCGGGCCGGGAAGGGCGATGCCCTGCTGGTGCTGCTGGGGATCCGCGGGGTGCACAGCATACTCCAACCTTTGGAGCCCCGTCTTACCCGCACAACCCCTCTCTGACGGCTCGCATGCCGCAGCAAAAGCAGGTCGAGCAGGAGGAGGAATTCATGTGAGCTGGCAGCGTGACGGGGCGCCCGCTGGCGGGCCAAGCGTGTGCTGTGCCCACCACGCAGCCGCTTGGCACCTCGCAAGATGCCATCGTGCATGCCTTGGCAATCGCGCCCCCAGTCGCAGCCTTTCACAGCACTGACGACCGCCGCCCCGTCACCGCCATCGTGGCGCCTGCCCACCTGCCCGCCCGCCCGCACGCCTGCCTGCCCACCTGGCCCGCCCGCAGCACCAACAAGTTGATGAAGCGCCTCGAGCAGCTCAAGCGGGAGAAGCAGGCGCTCGCCAATGAGGTGCGCGACGCACCCTGGCTGCGACCACCCCCAAGGGAGGACCCTTCTCATTGCAGACGCGCTCCTGCCCCAGTAGCCATGCGGCTCCTCGCCCCAGCTGGAGGGGTGCCTGCCCTGAAGCCAGCACCGTGAGACTCCCATCACGTGGACCCTCCCGATGCGTCGCAGGTCGAGCAAGAGGAGGAGATGATCACAAACACACTGCAGAAGAAGCTGGAGAAGGTGGGGCATGCTCGCAGTCCATCAGCACCTGGGGGTCTCCATACGTGGATCATGACAGTGCAGAGGACGAGCCGCGCGCCAGAGTCTGCGGCGTCCCCCTTGTGCCGCACCTCCCCAGCAGGCGCCGCCGGGCGCGCCGCCGGGCGCGCCCCGGCGTAGCCCAGCGCAGCGGAAATCCAGCGGCCCTGAACAAGCCGCCTGCGCCGCCGAAGTGGTCAGGCCCCTGGCAACCCTCCCTACACACACACACACACACGCACACACCACACACACACACACACACACACACACACACACACACACACACACACACACACACACACTTGCCCCCGTCAGCTGAACCGCGACAAGGTGGCGCTGGAGAACCAGCTTGAGGCCGAGCAGGAGTACATCACACACCGCCTGCAGAAGCAGGCGCGGCCTCTGAACCACGCAATGCGAGGCGGCGCCTTGTTTTGCTCCCCCTGCGGGCTTGAGCGGGGCTAGGGAGAGGATCGAGGGAGACGCGTGCAGCGGAGCGGGGCCGAGCTCGCCATCCCCCCGCCAAAGGGCATCCAATCCAGGGCCCCACCAGGCCCTGGCCAGAAGGGGCATGGGATTAAAACCGACGACGACGGCGCGCCGGCTCTCGAGCGCCGCGTGGCCGGCTGCGCGCTCCCTGGAAAACTTGCTGATTGCCCTGGGTGTCGGCCTCCCTCTGCAGGTGGCCCAGCTGGCCAGCGAGAAGGCAGCGCTGCAGCGGGAGCGCAGCGAGCTGCAGCGACACGTGAGCCGCGCCGCGCCGCGCCGCACTGCGGCCTATCCGCGCCGCTCCTCTGCCCGCGCCGCCGCCGCCCGCCTGTGCCCGTGGCTGTCTGCCGGCCGCGCGCCCCCTGCGCTCGCCGCGCCTGCCCTCGGTTGGGGGCCCTCGGTCCTTCCGCCCCGAGCGCTGCTTGCCCCGCGCCATTTCGACCTCATGCTGACGCGTCTGCCCCCGCCCGTCTGGTGGTTTGCGGCGCGCGCACACGGGTGTGTATGTGTGTGTGTGTGTGTGTGTGTGTGTAGGTGGGTGACCTGGTGGGTGCCGTGGACCGCCTGAACCGCGACAAGGTGGCGCTGGAGCAGAGCATGGAGGCGGAGGAGGAGAACATCGTCAACAGGCTGCAGGTGCGACAGTGTGCGGGGGTGTGTGGGCGCGTGTATGTGTGTGTGTGTGTGTTGGGGGGGGGCTGGTCCGGAGTTGTTGGGCCGGTGGGCCGGCGTCTGGCGCGTCGCTACTTAAGGATGGCGTTTCGCCTTGTTAGGCCCTCCTGGGTCGCGGTCACAGGGATCGGCCATTCTTGCGTTTTGGGAGCACCCCCTGCACCACCCGCTTTCTTGGCACTGTGATTATTTGCCCCAGGTTAACGGCTACCGCAAACTGCAGTTGAGCGCAGTTGAGCC